CGACCAGGTACGACCCGGACAAGGAATCATCCTTAATAGTCTTCACACGAAACCATTATAAAGGTGATGTAACAACCCTTCACCATATGTCACCCAAAACTAAGAGCGAAATCGCGATTCTGGCCTTTGATTCACTTTTCGTTGTCAACGAAAATGTGCCAGCACAAATCAGACAAGACATCTTGGAAGAAAATGCGCAAGAAACTCATATATTCTGCATCTTCAGTAGATCGGACAGCAGATCAAGAATTCCTGATTTGAACGTATGGGGGGCATTCAGAAGTTTGTACATACAAGTTACTGCATCCCACATTTTTCGGACTACATCGAAGAGTCCCAAAAACTCATCATTGACGTTTTGTAAAGAAATTTAATCCCTTCTTCACTAGAGAGATTTTACAGGAGAAGAAAGCTGTGGGAAAAATCTATACTACTGAGTACTAACGAGACAAAATGTTGATATCCGGAAACTCGAAATACTTGTGCCAAACCTCCTCAGGTTTAGAAGATTGTATGAGGAAGGGCTTATTAAGGAGTCTACGGAATACTATAAACACTTATACTCATACACGAAACAGAGGACCAAGAAAAGAGACGATATCCCAACAGTATACGAAGACAGTGATACTACGTAATTAGTAGGAGACAACTGTTGTGAAGCTAAGGTATTCTCAAATTACTTTAGCGACGTCCGTACCCTGGAGATGCTCTCTTCAGTTTACATGACGTCCCCCCCACACACACACTCTGGACACTGTGACCATTAGAGAACCCGATATCTTTGGTCTGCTGATTGAGCGTGAAATAGGCAAATCAACGAGACCCGATGAGACGCGCCCTAGATAACATTATTCAAATGATGGATTTGATACTGCTAGTGTCAACAACAAAACTGTGAAAAGCACCACTGAACAAATATAACCGTTTTTGGATATGAGTTCAATTACTGGAAATTTTAGGTAAGGATAATATGTGACTATCAAGACCTCGCGAATCCATAAGATCGCAATTACAGAGTATGTTATCACTGGTAGCGAAATGAACGGTAGTTCTACAAATCGACTTGATGTGTTTCATTTCACAACACTCGGAGCATATAGTATGACGAAGTGCACACGAACTACATGAATGAATTTCACCACATGACGAACATTTACCGAACTCGTGCTCACCCTTGTTTACTGTCTTGCAATTCTTCTAGAAATTGATTCTCATGTTTTAACGCAAATGGGGATAATCGTTAATTGAACGCCTGTCCATATGAGCTTGAGTACGAATGGTATTAGGACAACTATGTACTGTAGTGAAATTCTTGATATCCTGGAATCGAGCTCCCTTCTTCTGAATATATCAGTTATTTTCATAATATTTCTTCAAACCCGTTTTGTCCATAACTTATTTTGTGACTAGGTTTTGTATCTTTCATTTATAAGCTTTTTGTGAGCGAAAGCGGTGTCAAACACTTAATATTGAGGACATTCCTAAGAATCTTGAAGTTTAGTGCCGTGTGAATCATCATTCAGAGTCCTATCTTATGTTTTATATTTATTATTTATCTCCAAGAGAAACTCAGTTATGCGGCCTACCTTTTTGTTGACGAATTAAAACTATGAATAGATATCAATTTTAAAGTGTTTAGAAAAATTAAGAGATATCTCTAAACACTGCAAACTCGAACAAGTAGCAACGGTTAAATTTCAACCTTCTCGAATATCATATTTGTAATGGCATTGAACCTTAACCACACTACCCTCAAAGCTAAACACGAAACAACTGGGAAAATAGATATTCATCATTTATCGTGGAGAAAAAACCAGCGATGGATAGGGAAGGAACAATGAGTTGAATGAATTCAAATTGATCTGATGGCATGGTTCGGCCGTGCAGGCGTGGTCTAACTTATGTAACGTTATTTTTATCCATATTAACCATATTGTTCTGTATCCAGTCTGAGTGTGTTCTCTATCATATATTAGTAATTGTTACTATATGATGAATCAGTGTAGACAATGATGTGACTTCCACGTAGGACCTTATAGATCAGACAGTTACATCATGACAAATTTACAGTTTTAGGATTGGGTCTATTGTTGGAGCAGCACCAATATCATAGTAGACCATAGTTCTACAAACTGCACAAATCTATACTCTTGAAAAAGATGGACAGATAGGCCCAGTTTTATTTACGTACCAGTCGGTATATCAACTGAGCCTGAGCTATGCCTGGTACCGAGTAAAAAATAATCAATCCAATGTGAATTCAAAATATAATAAGTTATATTTTATAGGCAATAGTGTTGATTATACGGACAGTTGAATTGCTGAGTCTAAGTATATCAGTGGTATTCGGAGTTTGAATTTTTTACACATAACGCCTTTATAATTGAAGGATACCAGTTCAGTTAAACCAGAAGTCAGAAATTTAGGAGTCCGGAGATATATTTCGAAAGCTATTGATATATCGATAGATTTGGTTTAACTTCGCTAATAGATGAAAGGGATGTGTAGCACGACGTACCTACTCGTGATCTGGTTCTATCGCCTGAACGAACACCTTCAGCTAGGGTGTCTTCAGTAAATATAGTGATGTCAGCGTAACTGTTTAGTTTGAGAATCTACTTATCACTACATCTCACCCACCCTAATAGGGTGGTGATGGCATTAAGATGTGGACAACCAGAAGTTTAAACCCCACGAGCTTGCATTTGGTGAACACTCTGCTGATAGCTCTTATATCAAGCAGCATGCGGTTGCCGTTCCTTGACTTAAAAATCCATGTGCTATACTCACTTTCTTACGCCTGTTACTCCAAATAGAGCATAGACGACCGACCAACATTCTCCAACTCATTCTGTCCTGGGGCTTCTTTTCTAATTCTATCCAATTTTTATCCATTTTTCTCATATCTGTCTCCATTTCTCGGCGTAATGTGGTCTTTGGCCTTCCTCTTTTCCCTCGGCCTTGAGGACTCCATGTGAGGGTTTGCCTTGTGACACAGTTGGGTGCTTTACTCAGTGTATATCCTATCCACTTCTGGCGCTTCTTCCTGATTCATTCCCCTGCTGAAATCTGGTTTGTTCTCTCCCACAATAGATTGTTGCTGATAGTGTTTGGCCAACGGATCCGAAGTATTTTGCGTAGACAACTGTTAATAAACACCTGTATCTTCTTGATGATTGCTTTCCTAGTTTTCCAAGTTTCCGCCCCACTAGACAGTAGAGCTGTCTTGATATTTGTATTGAAAATCCTGACCTTGGTGTTGGTTGACAGTTGCTTTGAGTTCCAGATGTTCTACAGTTGTATATATGCTGCTCTTGTCTTGCCGATCCGCGCCTTCACATCTGCATCAGATCCACCGTGTTCATCAATGATGCAGCTCAGATATGTAAATGTATTTACATCCTCCAACTCTTCTCCGTCAAGTGTGATTCGATTGTTGCATGCTGTGTCGTGTAGAAGAATCTTGCTTTCCCCTTTGTGTATATTGAGACCTACTGCCGCTGAGGCTGCTGTTAAACTGATCGGCTCCTCCTGCATTTGTTGTTGCGTGTGTGATACAAGAGCCAGATCGTCCAGTTGAATCCTAGCTGTCCACTGTATCTCATGCTTCCCCTCAGATGTTGACATCTTCATGATCCATTCGGTCACCAAGAGAAAGATAAAGAGTGAGAGTAAGCAACCTTGCCTGACACCTGTCTTTACTTCGAACAAGTCTGTCAAGTGTCCTCGATGCACGATTTTGCAGTTTAATCCACCATAGGAATTCCGTATGATATTGAATATCTTCTCAGGCACGCCGTAGTGTCCAAGAAGCTTCTATAGTGTTGTCCTGTCTATGCTATCAAATGCTTATTCGCTAAAAACACTGAGCGAGCACATTTGGTATAAAATAACAAAAAAACATGTGAATTTTGTCAGTTTTCTCGTCTTATCTGATCGTCTTACGTGCAGTACTTGTTAAAGTTTGTAGGATTTAATTTGTCCCACAGATATTCTACTAGAAATGTAAACGCAATATTGACGACTCAGAGTCTATACAAAAGCTATAGTTAGAACATGGACCACTTGGCTTTTGACTTTATCTGTTTCTAAACGTAAAAATTAACCGATTGGTACAATAGTTAAAGGAATTATAGACATTAGGTGAAACTCGTAAACATACCTACCAGTATTGCGTGTCTTATCGAAATGAATAAAAATTATGGGTCATATAATAGTACAGTGATGTCCTTCACTTGGAAGGTCACATGCAGCTGGGATAGTCTACGGACACATCAGACGAGATGACGTGGCGGGGGTTTAAGTAACGATTCTACTGGTTGGTTATGGGCCTAATTAACAAAGCGTTCTAGAAAACTTACTCTTCCTCTAAAGAACGTTGTTTTGGGTCGGTTATCGGATGTTAGAAAAGTTTATCTGCGGTCAACAATTATTAGCTATGGCAGTGTGGTCATCGAGTTTCTATCGTTCTATTGTTTAGGAGGGAAGTCAACATAATTAAGGTTTCTTTCTAAATAAGTGACTTTAAGGTATTCTATGCTAATGTAATCGTGAGTTCCACAGTTGGTTTGTACCGCTTATTGACCAGTCCACCTAATGCTCACTGTAACGGCGATCTTCTTGTTTACTAACGACATAGTGACCATGAAAAAACATCTCGGACCTTAATCCTCAATGTCCTGTGGTTCCATCTGAACCACTGCCTAAATAGATAAAAACCTTTAGGCCAATGGTGTTATTTATTGAGATTCTTCGTGTTATGATGTTTCTGAATATGACGACTTCTTAAGTTCGACAGCGACATTTAGTTTGAAACTTTCTTGACCTTTGCGCGGAATTCACATCAAGGACGATGTCACTGTTCGAGTCTTATGAGAAACAGTATGGAAATCTAACTAGCGACATAACATTCAAGCTAGGAAAAATTCCCCAGTTAAGTGGTGGTATGTTCCGTAAAACATTTTAGACTTTTGATTGATAAACCATTAACTTTATCTACTATGTCAGGTGAAAGGGCGAAAGAAGTACATGATGTGTCAATACTTTTCGACGAGACAAAGGAGTTAATTGAACAGATGTCTCTGGAAGTTCAGGAAATGCGATCTGACATCCGTCCCAAATTTCAAAATAGGCTTGAGTGTTACCGAAAAGAATTAGGAAAACTCACGACAGAATTCGTAAGCATTTTTCTAGTACTTAAATATTTTCAACATTTTCTGCCTTTTCCTTATTTTATTTCTCATTTGGCTTGTGATTCTTTATATCTTATGTAGTTGTGCTTCAGTATTATGGCTGCTCTTGTACATACAAAAGTATACTGTACAGTATACTCTTAGGTTTATTCATTCTAGAATTAGTAATAATTAAAAACTTATATCTTTACGCAAATTGTGTTTAAAAGATCTATTGTGAACAATCGCTTATTGACGAGCATTAATTGATAGACATCCTGCACCTCACATAATGGTTCTATCAGCTTGTGTCAAGAAATAATGATTATAGTCGTTCGACTTCTATAACTTTTCAGGAAATACGTTTCTCTCAACCCTCAAGAGATAGTTTTTTCTGAACGAATTTCACATATAAAATGTAATTATTGCTATGAAGTCGGGAAAACTAGAGGACACCTGGATGAAAAAATCTTATAGACTGCCTGCATGCAGTTGGTAAATCACATGTGATTTAATGCATATATATATAATAAAAAAGCAAAAGAAAAAAAGTGGATACACTTCTTATATGTGGATCATAAATTGCCTTAGTTCGGAATTATATACAGGGTTTTCATCACGAACTGACATCAGCTATAATGCCAGAAATTTATTTAGCCAAATGGATAAAGGCTTTCCCACCAAAATCCAAGATATGTTATCTTATACCTGACTGACTCGTCCATAAACTATAGTCTCGCAGTTTTATTTGTTATAGCCGCTCAATTATCACGTTTTGTACAAAATTCCCTGTGAGTCGATCGTATGTTAGCATTATGCACTGATGTTGGCGCCGTGACCTTGAAATCTCAGACACTTCTGATTGGCTCGTCCATCAATTAGAGTCTCGCCCATTTATCTAATTTTCTCTGCAGTATAATAGAGATCATTTGATAGTTTGACTCATCCCAGCTACCTTCCATATGCTATACGGGGCGATGACAATAATCATTCTTGAATCATTTACAACCATTGGCTAAGACCACGTTCCAGAGTTATCTATCAGGCTTATGTAGTCCTTGTCTTGACACACAAATCAATAGCGTATAATATGCGACTCAGGGCATTGTTTGTGAAGTGAAAGAATTTTCTGATTTTATTATGTTCCTAAAATTGCTTTTCATGCTTTCGGCTTGCTGTTCTTTGTTGACTGACTGGTTTGATGAGACAGTCGAGTCATTAATTATAGAAATATCTGTGGCTTATGTATTCAGTTATTGATCGATGCCTCAGCTTAGCCGTATAACTGAATACCTCATATTTACCACCCTTATGTATCTTTCGTATAAGTTGTTACGTATTTGTACAATATTAAGCATAAAGATACTGCACCTCTCATCATGCAACCGCATCAGTCCTAGTACACGGATATAATGAAAAGCATAAACTTTAAATTGTCAAAATGTGAAGTACTTCTAAAGAACTAAAAGGAACCCGTTGCAGTGCTCACAACGTTTAACAAGCCACTAAAGATATTCTCAGGTTCGTGTAAATGGGTAGCTTTTAAGTACTGATTATGGTGGCAGACGGAATCACTTTGCATGCAGCCAAAATCAAAACTATTTGTATCTATAAGACCTACCTAAGGGTTCACCGTAACGTTTTTCTAGTCACTGGAGACTAAGTGCACAAGTGCGTGGTCTAGACAGTTGTATTAATTGAATTTTAAGTCTAGTCTCCGAACCGAGGATTTTCGAGTACTCTCTGTGTCCTATCATCATTACCTCATAAGTATTAGTTGTATTCAAGTTAACGTCGTGTTTGTAATTCTGAAGTTCTGTAATGTATGTCTAAGGAGTGGGAAAAGTCTTAGAACACTGTTGTCTTTGGTTTAGTGATGTCTAACGTATAACTCAGCGTCTCCATATCGTTTGTTGTTTGAGGACGCTAGGATGGTGAGAAAAGTAGTAGGTACTAAAGTTATGAAATACCATACTATATGGAAGTGTTTGTGACTCATGGACGCTAGCTTCGTGTGACAAAAAAGACCAGTTGGAATCCGTTCAGTACTAATAACCTTGAGTCAACTGCTGAGTTCTTATTGATCGACCACTCTCTGGCTTCTCTTCACCCTGTAATTAAGCCCAGAAATCAGTGGCCAGCTTCAACTATGTATGTTTCAGACATATATTTTATAAAAAGGTAGACCAGACCGTATCACGCCATTAAATAGTAAACAATGATTACATATGAGCAAGCTGAAAGTGGCCGCGAGTAAGGGAGACTGTGAATAATAAACTAGCGTCTTGTTTCTTACGTCAAGCTATTCCCCACACTCTGCCCCATATTCATCATCACAGAAAACAGTCCATATTTTTCAAGACTGAACTTTATTGTTTCCTTTGGTTGTGATTGTAACGAACTGGTTTCGTTTTATTTTGTATAAAAGATATCTATTTAACAACAGCAAAATGCTCCGACTCAACCTTATTTGCAGATGTTTTCATACTGCTTGATATATTGTGCCACTGATCACGTGTATCCCCATATCACCAAATATTCTAATTATTATGAATAGGCTTATGTTCCTTTTTTCTCGGACCTGTTCCTTTCTCATGGTTTCTCTTGTAGAGTTGGTTCTAAACACCCAGTTTGATAAGTGTTAGTTACTTTCGGCAAATGTTTCAGCTGAATTTAGAATTTTCAATCACGTCTTTCGTTTAATTGCGTTCTCATACATATTCAACAGGCTGATTCTGTGCTATAATGTCATTTATGGTTTAGTTGATGAAACCGTCGGATTATAGTATATATACCGACACAGTCAAAAATCATATATATTCTGGTTAGTATACCATTCACAAAAAAATCAATGCAAATAATTTTTTGGAATGTATACGAGTGCTATACTTTCTGTAAACTATACGTTTATGACACTCGCTAACATGGTTATGTTTTTTTATCAAATAAGCCTTCAAACATAGTTAAAAGTTAGTAATTGCGTCGAAGTTAATCGATCTCTTAAAATTATTTTCCGAAAATTGTATGAAATGTATATTGAATTAAGAACTATTTTCCACTTCTTATAGACTTCGGTTATTTACCATATATTATAGTGCTGAGCTAAACGACTCCTTAAATAATATGCAATATGCTTACGTACCATTCAATTTTCCTTTGCATTATTTCTTCTACTTTTTCAAGCGGCGACCGCGGTATGCCGTTCGGCGCCCTGACCATAAGGATTCATGCGGTTCCGATGATGAGGACAATTTACACGAAGAGGTTTTGTTTGATACAGATATGAGAGCTCAACTTCTGAGCAACACTGAACGAATATCTCGGACTACTACCAAATTGGAAGATGGTGTGCGAGTTGCTTTGGAAACAGAAGAAGTAGGTGGTCATATACTACAAGACTTAAGCGAGCAACGAGAAAAACTTCAAAGAAGTAGAGACAGGGTGAGTTAATTCGGTTTTTAATCATATTTTATTGTTATCCATTATCATTATAATCGACCTGTTTAGCAGTTTACTTCTCGTCAAAATTGTAATTCAGTATATGTATTTGTCTAAACGGAATTTTTTAAAAAGCGAAACAAGTGAATAGAGGATTGATAAAAGTTAAGTAATATTACATTTTTCGTAGTAAAAAGAGTTAACTATGGATCAATTACCACAATTATTTTGAAGTGGATTCGTAATTTTCTCGTATCTGCATCTCTGATAACTGACTAATACTGTTTATTATTCAGAAACCTGTTAAATAACGTTTACTTAATCATATACCGATGGATATATGGTATACATTTACCAAAAACCTCGGACTTTCATGTGAAGCACAACTCACATCTCTTGTCAAAAATTAAATTGGTGTATTGTCTGTGTTACAACATCACAAGATGTATCTGGATAACCAGAATCAGGCCTTACCTGTTGCCACTTACCAATATGTCCTAATGGTGTACATCCTTTGTTCTCAGTCCCAGCCTAACGTCAACATAGTCTACTTAATCATCTTAGTCAATCACTCAACACTGATAACCCTTTATTTCTTCTTAATCACTTAACATAACGAGAGCGTAACTGTAGGTGTAATGTAGACACTTCTAGTGATGAAATCGTGTTGCCCCGCATCTCATTAAAGGAAGTGACAAGAATCCAACTCCTTCAATATTTAAGATGAGTGATTAGTATTGTAGTTCAAGAAGCATTGGTCTTATATATCTGAAGATCTCTTTCATCTTTCTTTTGTCTTCAATGATCTTGTGTACTACTTCGAGGATTTATTGACACAAGGAGACATTTGATTGAAATCTCAAGAGAACAGAGTTTTCGTGGTAGTTTACACTGCGGTGCATTTTACCCGAATGATGTTGAAAATATATGTTAAATAGTGATTAGTAGTCAGAAGTTATACTATCTTTACGAATTCATCCTATTAAGTAGCTTTTTACAGCCCATTTAATCAGAAGCATTGTGAAAACTTATTTATTATCCTTCACTTTACTTTCACAGCTTCGTCAGGCAGATTCTGATCTGAAAAAGAGCTCTCGAATACTTTCAGTAATGACTCGCAGGTAACTATCATTTCCTATATTTTCAACAAGTCATAGGCATTTTCGTTCAGAGACAGAAACTTTGTTAGTTGTTTCACATATTACGCGCTGTTAACCTATTTACTGACCAGTTTTTCTTCTAATGCATGGATTTGTTACTCATAACAAATTATCCACGTTTACGGTCCAGAGTTTTTGTTGGGATTTGATAGAGAAATAAAATCATGTGTAATATTTCCTAGTCCCTTTGGTTTCACCAGCTCATAGATTGAGGCTTTGTGCAGTTATAGAACTTAGTTCTGTACAGCTAGAATCTGAGGCCATTCTTCTTGAGAGCAAACTGAAAGGCAATGTAGTGAAATAGGTTTTTGGTATATATGGTGCTAAACTATTAAGGTTATGTGAACTGTCTATAGTTACTTAGTACTTTTGTGAAACAGATAGTTAGTTACTTACGAGGTTCTACGTTGTAACAGATACTGAGTATGAAGTATGAATATTATATTGTGTAGAGGGAGTTAAAAAACACGTTGTATGGATCCTTTTTACTGATCCATTACATTAAGACTTAAAATTCTTTAAACATTTATATATATTTGCCGCATTTATTGTGGTGTTTTCAAGTGAATTAATACCATGTCACTTAGTTCCGTTTTTAACGCGGAAGGGTTATGATACTTCAACAAATCTTTAAATGTTTATACATACATGAGCCTACATATTTCATACCAATTATAATCTTAATTTCATAATTTCTTATCGCATACTATAAAATAAATGAATAAGTACATGTTTTAGGATGTCAGTAAGGGATCATTACTGTTGTGCGGATTATGTTGTTTGTTTAAAAATATTCGAGCGTTATTTGCCAACTTCCTTATCTTGAAAATCACTACTGATTGAGGCTAAGAGAATAGCAACAGGCACAAAGCAATCAGAACAGTTAACAAATTACAATGCTTAAATTCTAGTTCAAATCACAGAAAGTTGGGTAGTAGTATCACACAAAACGTTGCAGTAGCAGCTCCATTCCTTATCTTGTATTAGAGAAAAGTTATTCGTTTATAGTTTGTATATTTCTTTTTTGAATTTTTCTAGTCTGCATTTGGCAGTCATCTGCTTAATATTAAATGGTGTTAATCAAATAAGTGGCATACATACACTTCAGGACATAAAATTAATATGTAAGCAGTCTAGTTATTTGTCATTGGGTTATGTACTTCCTCCTCATCTGTGATTCTAGATTATTTTCATTTTCTTTCCCTTTTAGAATTCTTCAAAACAAATTCCTTCTAATCACTGTGATATTTCTGATTGTGTTAATATTTTTCTTAACCATATATCTGGTCACCCGTCGTGCGACAACACACGCGAACTCGTCTTCTGCTACAATAAACTCATCTCACCCATGATATGTAGTTATGTGTTTATGTTTCTGTAGGTGGTTCTTTTTACACCTAAGCAGACAAAGTGGTTTTTATTTATTCATAACTATCTCATTTTGTACTCCGGTATAGCGTATCTCATCACAGTACCTATTCTTTTTTGAAAAGTTTAATTACAATAAGTTGTACTTCCGAACAAGAATCATCAATTTGCTGTTCATCATTACTTTTTATTTGGTTTCTTCTGTTTTATACCTTATTTCTTTGACGGTTAGTTTGCTAATATCATTAAAAAATGTCATAAAGGTATATATAAGTGCTGTATTTTTAATATACTATAGTGACAAGTGTGCATATTCCGTCTGGTATTTTCGAGACTTTTTTAGGCAATTTTAGTCGCTAATTCGTTGGGATTAACAACGCTGATATTTTCAATACATATATCTTTCACTGGACGTTCGTAATGAGTCTGGACCTCTTCCATTTTATCCAGAGTTAAACTTCCTTCAATTACACGCCTAAAACAGAAGATCAACAATATCAATGTTTATCAAAATGTTTACATGTGATGTTAGGTAAAACTGCTGACAATAGAGGTAAACATCGGAACTTGTTAATTAAATCTGTGTATCTTGGTGATCTGTCATCAAGTAATATAAATACTGGTAAAAGGGCGAAAGCATAAACTAGCGAATTATAAAATAATGTTGACTTGAGGTTGATTGAATTATTAACTGGGGTTTCACTGCAATAAAAAGACATCCAGGTAGCTTACATACAACTTTCCAACTGGTGCTATAATATACTACCTATGATTCAGTGATTTTTGTTGAGTCTTTATCACTTAAAGTAACAAAGATCATATATTATATGTACCTTGTGAGAAATTCAAATAATGTGGGTTTTGTGAGCATAACGGATAAAATCATCTCGTTAACGTCCTGAGCATACATTATAACCTCCTGGTTAGGTTGCTAAATACAATGGTAAGGACGATTTCATTGGGTCTCTGTCGTTTTCTATATAGTGTTTACGTCTAGTTGTTTTGCTATTTCAGGATTTGAGAATTACCAAAGGGAAGTATACTTCTGTCATCATGTAATATGTATTTTTCGTTAATCCTGCATCCATTAAATAGTACGAAATGTAGACAGGAATATTTCGCTGTCGATTCCTTAGTGTGCCTGCTGAAAGTTGACCAAAAATGGTAAAGATACGGGTTCTGTGAATAGTGTTAGAGATAAGTGAAGCGAACAAAATTATGAAATCGTTTAGCTGAATTCGCTATAGCGTTCTTATCACGTTCCACCGTACAATAAACAATCAAAAGTTGTAAGATATTGATTGAAAATAAATCAGACACCATGTACCAATAATTAATTTATAGTTCCAGGCGTCAAAAAATGTAGAAGCTTCAAACTCCAATTGTAAATCTGTCATCGCAACACATTTACAAAGTGCCAAAACTTACCCAAATGCTACGTAGCGGTTATCCATCCATTCAGCTGGTGCCAGTGTAATGAGGAACTGTGAACCATTTGTGTGACGTCCAGAATTAGCCATACTTAGAATTCCGCGTCGATCATGCTTGATGATATAATTTTCATCTTGGTTGGTGGAAATTAGACGTATGGTTTAAAGCTTTTATGAGTGTCTGCGGAAAGAATAATTACTGAAACAACTTGCTAACTAATAATAATTGATCCCCTGTTTTCTAAAACTCGAGACATTGTTACACTTATCGAATTAGAGTTCCTATGAAAGTGTAAGTTAAAAGCCGCTTTAGTCGCCCACAAACCAAGATATCTTGCCGAATGTCGTCTGTTTTCTTAATTAAGTTGTATTTGTCTCGAAAATACCAATCTTCAGTTGTCAGTAATAAGTATATAGGGGTGTGATAGATCGTGCTTCTCTCGATTTTAAACTTCTGATAACTTTATAGCATAATCCAACCACTTAGATCACGTCATTTACATTTATTACCTATCAAGACATTTTAGACTTGAAAAGTAAAAATGACAAAGTTTGTACACTGATTTATATTTACTTGAATTGGGTGATGTATTATCCTTGGTAGTTACTTGTCCTTAAAGTTCTCTCGGTACATAACATAAAGTAAATGAGAGGATTACTGCATAGTTCCTTTCATTTTAAATGAAAATGGGTTAAGTTTCATATAGATTATGGTGTTGTGAAATTATAGTATCGTGACCTCTACATTAACTATAGATTTAAACATTCCAACGCCCATTTGAAATGAATACTTAAGTAGTGCCTTTAAATTAAACAACCCATACTTTTAATAAGGTGGCTCCAAAGAAAATAGGCTAAATAAGGTATGGTCACCGTTTTTAAATTTAGATTTTATCCAAATGCTTGACTATGCTAGCTAACATTGTATAACCAATTAACTTCGGTGCTACGATTCTCAACAGTGTAAAACAAGAGTCACAACATCAATTGTTAAGGAATAATGTATTTCAAGCACATAGAACCAGGAGGCAATAAAAGTGAATTACGACAGTAATAATAAGTCATTATATATATATATCCTGAACAAAACAAAGCGCATACATCTAATGGTGTTAGATCAACACACACAAGCCTTCACCATTTGAAAATGTTTATGAATGAACGTTCGCAATTGGTAATGTAAATGTAAAACAACTACTATTAGAATATTCCCCTGAGCATGGGTTGTTTGTGTGTCTTTTTATAACTTTTCATATAAATATACACTTGCAGGTGCATAGTATGCCGCTGAGAAACATTCCTGGGTTATGAACTCTACTAATTCTAGTGTTTTTCTAAGGTAGTTTAGGGGTTTAGAGAATTTTTATATCTACTTCTAACTCTCAGAAAACAACTAACAGTAATTTCTTTCAGTCTGAACGTCAAAAATATAACGATTGCGAATTTTGTCTGGTATACTTTTACATTTGTGCGACAGCTAATTAGCTGAACACGTAACAGAAGGTAAAAGTGTTCTAACAACGGAAGTTTTACATTGTGATTGGTAGTTCTGAACACATGAGATAATTTGCGGTTCATTACGGACTAGCGATCTAGAAACATTTTAATACTAGTTTCGGTATTAAAATACTAGCTATACAAAGTTATACTTTATACCCAGTACATGAAAACGGTCTCTTATGAAGTTAAAAATAAAAAAAAGCATGAATGTTTTGGTGGGGAACACACCAATTTAGTACTTGTGAAGGTTAATATCTAATTGACGAAAGTGAATTACCTTCAAATACTGGACCATAGATTGAACGACCATCATTTCCTCTGTTATACAAAATATCTAAAGCAAAGTAGGTTGCATAGCTATTGTACCTCCACCTTGAATCCATCCATTTCTTACCAAACGGAAAAATTTTGTACCCTTATAATTCATTCTATATTTCTCCACCTCGTTTTTCTTAATCACTCCATACTCGCCAGTACACAATGACCTGAAATTTTCACATGTTTTTGGCACAAAGTCAGAGTATAACTAAGACTTCGACTTCTGAACAAGTTATTATACCTCAAGTAGTAAAATGCCGCACTTCTCCCCATCGATTGATATATGCATGGAAACATATATTCTCTAAATAATTATAGGGTAGTTATTCAACATTTTGTGCGGAATCAGTCTTACATTAAAATGAAGTAGTCTTTTTTGATAGGCATCAACTGCCAATGCGCTGTATAATTTCATAGGACGATAGTCAGTAATGTTGAATTCCCTTTCAGCCCAATTCGCTAGATCCTTTTCCGAACCTAGTGGAACTCCATCTATTATGACCAAAACATCATGATTATAGATCCAGTATGCTCCGCCAAGTTTCTGGATATGATAAATGCATATATGAACGCACTTTCTTTGTTGTCCTTATGAAGTCCGCCCATTCAAACTCAAACATTCCACATATTCTAGGCTGTTCAAATATTTCATGGTGTGATTCATGAAGATCCTGCACTAATTTATGAAGTAAAACTAATACTCACAGAGGCCAAGAGGCTTGCCTTCTGAAAACTTTCTTTATGAACCAAACCATATATCTCTATAACCATGAAATATATTACCGAAATGTGATATTTGTCAGATGCTATGGTTACTGTTAGGTGGTTCAACCAAACGCCTGAAATCATGTTTGCGAAGGTTCAACCGTGAATTCGTCTTGTAAAGACATTCTTGCTGATGATTTCCCTTTTTCTCGAATTTTAGGTACCAGTATAGACTTTAAATTTGTATTGTTACATAAATCATCCATATAAGTAGATTTGCAAATTTTGATATTTAAGCTGATCATTTTAGCTTTACTGGACAACACTAGCTAACTACGCCCGAATAACCAACCACCGATGATTTAGATTTGTGTATTAAGGACAGAAGGCCTACGGCCTATGTTATTCCTTTTCTAATATGCTTCTGTGAGTGTCCAGTCTTCTCTTGAAAGAGTCAGTTGAAGGTGCAGACACCACTGCTTCAGGCAGCAGGTTCCAAGTATTTATGACTCGGTGTGAAAACCTGTATGCCACGGGTATTTTGTTCGTTCTTGGCTTTTCTACTCGCCTGCTATGTCCCCTGAGGTGTCCCGATATAGTGGAAAGAAAGAGAGAGAATAAGTTAGGTCCGAAATCATTTCTCAGTATTCTATACATCGAGATTAGATCTCCCCTTAATCTTCGATAGGACAGAGTAAATAGGTCCAGTTTTTCAAGTCGCTCTTTGTATGATAAACCCCGGAGTTCCGGAATTGCACGCGTAGCTGCCCTCTGTACCTTTTCTAGTATGTCTGAGTCACCTTTTAAACAGGGGCTTGCAGCCTGAACACAGTTCTCTAACTTAGTTCTCACTAAGGATGTGTATAATGTGGTGAACATGGTAGTATCAAGCTTAGTGAATGTCATTTTTAAAGCCCAGAGGGTTCGAAACCCCTTGGCTGCGACCTCCCGGCAATGGACCGTCGTCTTAAGATCATTACTCACTGTCACCCCTAGATCCTTATGAGACCGGACTACGGGTAATGACACATCCCCTATGTTGTACGTATTAACCTTTGAATCCCCCAAGTGCATGTAGACACACTTTTCCGAGTTGATAGGCATCAGCCACTCTTTAGACCAGTTTATCATATTGTTTAAGTCCGCCTGAAGAGTAAATGCGTCTTTGTCTCCAGTTATTACTCGCCAAATTTTTACATCGTCAGCGTATAATAACATTGGAGACTGTACTATACTTGTAAGATCATTAACGTACATTATAAAAAGTAAAGGACCTAGGACGGAACCTTGGGGTACTCCACTAAGTACTGGTCTCCAGATGGAGCACTTGGAATTTATTCTTACTTTTTGCCTACGACCTACTAGGAACTCCTTAATCCATTTTAAAAGAGGTCCGGCAATACCAAGGTTTGCCAACTTCAATAGCAGTCTATTAGTTGGCACCTTGTCAAAAGCCTTACTGAAGTCTATGTAGACAACATCCACTGAGTTTCCATTGTCTAGCGCATTAATCCAGAGCTCCCTAGCTATAAGGAGGTTCGTTGTACAGGATAGACCCTTTCTAAAACCATGTTGTGCCATGTTCAGCAAGTTATTGGTTCCCATAAATGCTGTTATGGTCCGTTTGATTATTCTTTCCAGTATTTTAATTACAACACTGGTGAGGCTTACGGGTCTGTAATTCGATGGAACTTGTCGTAGACCTGTTTTATGTATGGGAGTGACGATTGCGTCCTTCCAGTCCATAGGTAACACACCTACTTTATAGACGACGAAAAAAAGTCGCTGAAATGACGTTGAGAATGGACAACTACTAATTAGGGCTAAACGACGATTATAAACCAATTAAAATTTTCATTTACAGTTGATAGTTTGGGTTAAAAATTACATTTAGGTTTTTTATCACGAAGTGACATCAGCTTTAATGCTAAAACTCCATTTAGCCAAATATATGGATGAATTTTGCGCCCAAATTCGTGACTCGTCATCTTGTATCCGATTGGTTCGTCCATAGATTACAGTCTTGCCAGATTGCCTTCTCTGTTCTTGGTCGATCTCTCTGCCTTACTATATTTCCCTGCCAGGTTCTTCGTTGTCATATAGTTGTTTCATATTTCCTTCTGAAGTAGCTATTTATGCTGTCGTTGCAAGGTCTTTGACGCATTTCTGCTTGTCAGATATAATGCTTTTCTTCACTTGCTTGTTTACTCTTATGTATTCAACTTGTGCCTTCAGTTTCTCTGTTCTTCTTCGACTGTTGTTAATTGCTGTCATCTTGTTCCTCCTTTCGTGAATCTTTTCCTTGTTTTCGATGGAGATTCATTTATTATGATGACACTCCTTGCAGTCCAGCTCCTCTTGACTCGTTGAAGTTAGTGCTACTTCGATCCTTTTACTATTCTCCTCCATAGTAGTTTCTTCTTCCAGTAGATCGTGTAAGTCCTGGAACATGGTGAGCGCTGTTTTGAACTGGTCGAGTTTGTCGATAGGCTGTATTGAACCGTTGTGTTGTTGTTTCTCCAGTTGTCCAGTGCTTCTTTATCTTTAGTTTCTTATTGACAACCACTAGACGGTGATCCGAAGCTATGTCAGCTCCTCTCTTGGTCCTCATCTCTCCCACTGACCTTCTGAACTTTTCAGTGATACAGATATGATCGATCTGGTTCCGCGTAGTGTGATCCAGTGAGACCCATGTAACTATGTGTATGTGTTGGTGGGGGAAATAGTGCCACCGATAACCATTTTGTTGAATGCGAATAGATTTCCAAATCTCTCGCCATTCTCATTCCTTTCTCCTAGTCAGTTCATATTGTCCCACGATATCTTCATACTCAGTGTTGTCTACTCCGACTTTGGCGTTTAGGTCTCTCATCAGAATAGCCATGTCCTTTCCTGGTCACTTCCCTACAGTCGAATGCAGCCTCTCATAAAACTGGTCTCAATCGTCGTTTTCTACGGGATAGCTTTGCCGATTACATGCCCAACCCTCGTTCTCTACCCGGACTTGAGACTGGCAGTAGCTGTATAAGAGTTACAGGCGGAGTTGATACATAATCTTAGTGGGACTTAAATCAACACACGGTCAACCTTAATAATCTAGGAGACTGAAGTGTGACAAAATTCCAACAGAAACTGGTCGATGCGGTTATCTCATGTGTTATAATGCAGCATGTGAAACAGGCGACCAGGTACGACCCGGACAAGGAATCATCCTTAATAGTCTTCACACGAAACCATTATAAAGGTGATGTAACAACCCTTCACCATATGTCACCCAAAACTAAGAGCGAAATCGCGATTCTGGCCTTTGATTCACTTTTCGTTGTCAACGAAAATGTGCCAGCACAAATCAGACAAGACATCTTGGAAGAAAATGCGCAAGAAACTCATATATTCTGCATCTTCAGTAGATCGGACAGCAGATCAAGAATTCCTGATTTGAACGTATGGGGGGCATTCAGAAGTTTGTACATACAAGTTACTGCATCCCACATTTTTCGGACTACATCGAAGAGTCCCAAAAACTCATCATTGACGTTCTGTAAAGAAATTTAATCCCTTCTTCACTAGAGAGATTTTACAGGAGAAAAAAGCTGTGGGAAAAATCTATACTACTGAGTACTAACGAGACAAAATGTTGATATCCGGAAACTCGAAATACTTGTGCCAAACCTCCTCAGGTTTAGAAGATTGTATGAGGAAGGGCTTATTAAGGAGTCTACGGAATACTATAAACACTTATACTCATACACGAAACAGAGGACCAAGAAAAGAGACGATATCCCAACAGTATACGAAGACAGCGATACTACGTAATTAGTAGGAGACAACTGTTGTGAAGCTAAGGTATTCTCAAATTACTTTAGCGACGTCCGTACCCTGGAGATGCTCTCTTCAGTTTACATGACGTCCCCCACACACACACACTCTGGACACTGTGACCATTAGAGAACCCGATATCTTTGGTCTGCTGATTGAGCGTGAAATAGGCAAATCAACGAGACCCGATGAGACGCGCCCTAGATAACATTATTCAAATGATGGATTTGATACTGCTAGTGTCAACAACAAAACTGTGAAAAGCACCACTGAACAAATATAACCGTTTTTGGATATGAGTTCAATTACTGGAAATTTTAGGTAAGGATAATATGTGACTATCAAGACCTCGCGAATCCATAAGATCGCAATTACAGAGTATGTTATCACTGGTAGCGAAATGGACGGTAGTTCTACAAATCGACTTGATGTGTTTCATTTCACAACACTCGGAGCATATAGTATGACGAAGTGCACACGAACTACATGAATGAATTTCACCACATGACGAACATTTACCGAACTCGTGCTCACCCTTGTTTACCGTCTTGCAATTCTTCTAGAAATTGATTCTCATGTTTTAACGCAAATGGGGATAATCGTTAATTGAACGCCTGTCCATATGAGCTTGAGTACGAATGGTATTAGGACAACTATGTACTGTAGTGAAATTCTTGATATCCTGGAATCGAGCTCCCTTCTTCTGAATATATCAGTTATTTTCATAATATTTCTTCAAACCCGTTTTGTCCATAACTTATTTTGTGACTAGGTTTTGTATCTTTCATTTATAAGCTTTTTGTGAGCGAAAGCGGTGTCAAACACTTAATATTGAGGACATTCCTAAGAATCTTGAAGTTTAGTGCCGTGTGAATCATCATTCAGAGTCCTATCTTATGTTTTATATTTATTATTTATCTCCAAGAGAAACTCAGTTATGCGGCCTACCTTTTTGTTGACGAATTAAAACTATGAATAGATATCAATTTTAAAGTGTTTAGAAAAATTAAGAAATATCTCTAAACACTGCAAACTCGAACAAGTAGCAACGGTTAAATTTCAACCTTCTCGAATATCATATTTGTAATGGCATTGAACCTTAACCACACTACCCTCAAAGCTAAACACGAAACAACTGGGAAAATAGATATTCATCATTTATCGTGGAGAAAAAACCAGCGATGGATAGGGAAGGAACAATGAGTTGAATGAATTCAAATTGATCTGATGGCATGGTTCGGCCGTGCAGGCGTGGTCTAACTTATGTAACGTTATTTTTATCCATATTAACCATATTGTTCTGTATCCAGTCTGAG